GAGGGAGACCCTGTCTCAAACAAACAAGCAAACAAAAAGTTATTCCAAAATCTTAGAAGCTTACAACAACAGAGATCTCTGTTTCAGTTATTTAAAGCTTCAAATAAAACACCCTAAATCTTAATGACTTAAAATAACAATTTATTGTTGCTCAGGATGTTGTGGTTTGGTTGGGCAGTTCCACACATGCTCCTGCAGCTGCATTCACCTGCTGGTTCAGTGAGAACTGCAAAGACAAACCGCGCCTCACTGTGTTAGGGAAGGCTAGAAGTCTAAAATCTCTGTTTCTATGAAGTTTCACATCTTTCAGTGGTCTAACCCAAGCTTCTTTGCTTGGCAGCTGGGTCTCAAGAGAGTAAAAGTGGAAGCTGCAAAATATCTTGAGGGCTAGACTCCAGAACTCATTCAACATCACTTCTACTACAATCTTATGATAGTGTGAATCATTTCAAAGTAATTCACAGGCCAAGCCCAGGTTCAAGGGAGTGGGAAATAGACTACATCTCTTGATGGGAAGGGCAGACATGGCATGGGCAATCAACCCCCATTTACCTCTCAGTCATGCAATGTGTTCACTGCAGGTCAGCTCCATGTTGTTTTCACTCCAAAACCCAGGCTGATAAATAGATCTCAAAATATTTTTAGTGTCATAGCAAAGGGATCATGATGAAGCACGTGCTGGCCTTGAAAGCTTCTAGCCAGAAGTGCTCTTTGCTCATAATTCATTGGCCAAAGCAAATTACATGGCAAAGCCTGTCTTATAATGCCCTGGGACTACAAGGGTACCTAAAAAGAGAGTGTTACAGAAATCCTACTGAAGTGTGAACTACTTGGGTGAGGAGAGAGGAGGAAACCACAAAATATTTGGATGATACACAATGTTAAGAATTAGCTTCCAAGAAAATTTTAGAGAATATTTTATGTTATGCTAACAAGGTTCACTGACATTAACAGTTATAGAATATTATAGGGCCCATGCTCAAGGGGCGAAGCTGTTAGGAAGAGTTTCAAGGGAGTTAGACCACTTCTGTGTTCAATATACATACCAAGTCCCCCACTGTCATCTAAAGATTTCTTCTCTGGTTATAAAACTACCACTAGAATCATAAAAATTTTCATCAAGTCCAACCTACTCCACACACAAAGACAACTTATCACAGGTACAGGGAAATGTTAGGATATATATCTTGAAATAAGTCAAACTGTCAGCAGGCCTTCACTGACCATTCTTTACATGCTCATCTCTTTGCTATGTGCTGTAGTGAATGTCAAGTATAAAATAACCTCAAAGGTCAGGAAAACATTTTAAATAAAACAAAGACCAACATAAGATAACTATGGTCTTTCCCTGTTCTCCAAGAGGCAGACAATGGCTGCTGAGATATTTGTACTTCAGTTGGCAGTTTAAAATACAGTTAAGGCATAGGAAGCAATCGCAAGAAAAGCAGTAGGTAAATAAAAAGCAGGTGGTAGAAAGTTCAGGTGCTGGAAGAGATCAGAGGAAGGAAAAATCACTAAGGACTGAAATAGACATATTCAAGGAGGGGAAACTAGGGCTAAACCTCAAATGATAACACAAGATTATTCTTAAAGAAGAGACAGAAAACTTTTACAAAACATGAGAACATGGACAAAGCCACCTTCCCATGAGGTTCCCAAAGAACGTGATTATAGAAGAACAGAAGAAAATGTTCCACAGAGTCAAAATCTACCACTACCTCAGTATAGACCCCAAATCCCAACATTAAACGGGCTAGGCCAGGTGACCCACTCTTTGTCCTAAATTGGTTAGGCTTCCAACTAAAGTAAGTTGGGAAGCCTCCTGCTCAGTTCCACCTTTGCCAATGCCCACACACAAATGCCAAATCTTACTACTCTATATTCCTAATGACAAGAGATAAAGCAATGCCCACCAACCCAGCACTGACCTGTTACAATACAGCATCTTCCGCTAGCAAATGTGGTCCTATCAGCTTCCTAAAGTCCAACCAATTAGATTAGCATTCATGTTTCTTAATAAGAGAGAAGTATGAGGATGAACTCCTGAGCACTAAGTACCAACGGGGCCATACATCATTAAGCGCAACCAGAGCCATAGGGAGTTTCCACTGAAAGATGAATCAGGGACGGCAGCAAAAAGGGACAGATGAGTCTCTGACTTCAGCAGTTCTTTATGGCAGGTGAAATGATTGCTAATGTTTTCACTTTGCCTATGCATTAGTCTTCTCCACATTTCTTTCTCATTTCTTTCTATGCTGCTGTGAGAAGACCCATTTCAACAAATTTCTGAACCAGGAAATGTGGAATCCATAAAATGTTGGTTTGGTGTTTGATTTGGGGGTTTCTTAGTATCACATGCGTTCTACAGGCACCACAAGAATCCCCCAACTCTCACAAAGTAACAGTGCAACACAAAGACCTTAAACACAAAGAAGGCTTGTCTTCTCTGTGCCCCAATATTGCTTTTATTATGAATCACACAAGTTAGACTTTATTGCATCTTGTTCTGTTATGCTACTATTAATCTTGCGTCCCCAAGTAGAATGTAAGGGGCCTTGCTGGCACTGTGCATGCACCCCCATAGTGCCTTACCCAGTGCTGGGTAGGGTTAGAAATAGAAACTAAGGCAGCAGCCCTTCCTTCCAGGGTCTTGCAGCAGTGAACTAGCTTGACTTCCAAATAAGTTCACACCATACAATATAGTAACAGGAGAGTGTTCACAAATCTGGCCTTTTCTGGATATTAAATACATTTCTGCTGCTGGACTAGCCAAATAAATACAGAATGTATGTCATCCAAAAAGCAGGACAGATAAGTACTCGATTTAGAGTTAATAATGTGCTATTAAAACTACATATGTCAAATTATTTCATGTATAATGCAAACATATGATCTATCACAATTAAGATGATCTTGAAATGTCTAAGGGCCAAGTTCGATTAGGGCTCTAAAATATTTTGGTTTCTGCCATAACCTTCCTGGAATGGCTTAGCAAGTAAGAATCCCCTACTGTTTGCTTTAGTAAATCCCATTTTTCAAGGGTTAAAAGAGTGATGTGATTTAATCTTGATGATAAACATTTGCATTGGCCTAAAAACACAGATAAACAGGGGAATTGCTCCTGGAAGGCTTCTGTTAAAATGTTCACAGAGTTTCACATGATAGAAACCATCAACCAACAGGTTTATTGATGCCCAGCAGGGCTAGAGCCTGTCTTCTTCCTTGCACACAGCTCTGGGTGCAGTTCAAGCCCCACACACACCTAGAGGGAAAGGTGAGACCTTTCAGGATGGACCAGGTCAAATACACATTCCAACAGCACCTAATTTAGAGCTTCACTTAAACTGTATGTGTCAGTAGGGTCCAGACATTTGTCGTCTTTGACCTTGCTTCCCACTCCCAAGGGAGAACACAACTACATGTCTGTGGTTCATTGCTCTCCATTCTGTATTTCCTCTGGACCATGTAGCTGAGTCCCAGCAGTAGGGTGGCCCTCACTCTTTGGTGTGCCTGAGTCTGCCTCCCCAGGTGAACTGGGTATGTGTGATTTTAAGAAACTTCAGGATGCTGACTTCCATGAAGTCTAGGTTAGTGGCTTCTGGGAGGTCAAGGGGAGATGCAATCTGCTACCATAGCCAGAACCTACTTTCCCCACCCCCACTCCAGCCTCTGGGTTCTAACTGTATGATTGCAATAAAGAAGTCACTGAGGCCAGATGTGGTGGCTCATGCCTGTAATTCTAGCACTTTAGTAAGCTGAGGCAGGAGGACCCCTTGAGCTCAAAAGTTTGAGACCAGTCTGGACAACATGGTGAAACGTTGTCTCTACCAAAAATACAAAAATTAGCTGGGCATGGTGGCACACACCTGTGGTCCCAGCTACTTGGGGAGGCTGAGGTGGGAGGATCACTGGAGCCCAGGAAGTCAAAGTTACAGTGAGTCATGATTGTGCCACTGCACTCCAGCCTGGGTGACAGAGTGAGACCCTGTATCAATCAATCAATCAATCAATCAATGAAAGAAGTCACTGAGATCTTGATGCAAAGAAAAGGAAAACAAGGGGTCTGGTATGAGTTTGGCCCAATCCTAATGGCCTGGAGCAAGTTACCTTTCTCTACGGTGATGTTTCTCAAAATACACTCCCCGAATACCAGTTTCAGAATCACCTGCCAGAGATCTGGGTCCCACGCCCAGCTGGCTCAAGGAAATCAAAGTGTCTAGCAGGGGGGCCACATTCTCATGTTTGAGGACCATGGTCTAAAGACTCTGAGTTTGTTATCCATCAAATGAAGTAACACAGGCCATAGCTACTTAATGAGGTTATTATAAGGACCAAAATGGTATAGTGTATGTAAAGTAGTATACGGTCTGGTTTATCAATTAAGAGCATATTTGGGATCCAAACAGACCTGAACTTGAAACCAGATTTTGCCACTTATCAGCTGTGTGATCTTGAGAAAAGTACATCCTCTCTGAGCCCCTGTTTTCATAAGCTGTAAAATGTGGACAGTAATACCTAACTCATGGAAGCCACACGAGGACTAAATGAAAGGTTACATGAAAAATGCTTAACCCATTCCTGGCACAAGGTAAGTATTCCAGTCATGAACACATTTTTCCTCCTTCCCAGAAAAATACTTCAAACGTGAGTCAGAGTATACTCCCTGCTTTACTACTACGGTGAGACTTACGATGCTTTTCCTACAGAACTTCCCAACTTGGTCTTAAGTTTTGTCTTTCATAAGTAATTGCTCAGGCTCTTCCAGTCTCTGTTAAGACAGGCTTATAAACTGTTACTATCTTGCTTATCTGGGACTAATAAATTGGCATCTTGGCTTTCTGTGCCTTTCCAAATATTTGATTCTCTTATATTTCCCCCCACCCCACATCGCTCAATTTACAATCCTAAACTATGGGATAATAGCCCCATCTCCATAGTAACTATTCAAGAAAGCGAAAAATATTTTTACCATATTAACGGAGAGTTCGTATCTAAGGGTATATCTTCACAGCAACTGGTGCTAAAAGAAATAAAAGGAAGGCAAGTTGCAGGAAACCAAAAGATTGGCTTAAGCTGACCCTGGGAAATCCCTGGCAGCTGTATCCCCCAAAATCGACCTCCTTCAGCCCTGGTCTCAATATCCCATGCCAAGAAAGAAGGGCATAGGGGCTATCTGGGGTGAAGTTTGGATTAAAGTTCCTGACAAACAAGGCCACCTCCTTGTCCCAGGGCCAATTCTAAAGGTTCCATCTGATACTGTGGGGAAGCTATCTTCCCCTAGCAGTCAACTCTTAGTAATCCAAAAATGTATTTATTTATCCTACTGTCAACAGGAATAAATTATATTCTACCTCCCGGTCCTTGCATTAGGGGAAAAAAAGTGAAGGAAGACAATCTATTTCAGTTGTAATTAACATCGGGCCCGAGGGACCTTTCTGAAATGTCTGCCCTGGCAACATTTCCCCCAGCGTGGATAAAAACGCCTTCATGGAATGAGAGCCTTGGAGATCCCCCGCAGACATCTAACTGGATTCCAAACACGGAAATCCTGAGCAAGAGATGAGTTTCCTGCGAGACTGTCAACTTGCACGCATTTCCGATCCCACCGCTGCCCCCTTCATTTTAGGCCTCCCCTATTGCCTGGGGCAGGGGCCCGATTTTCTTACTTTCACCATACCGCGCTGGAGAGAGGCCCGCACCAGGCAGGCTCCAGGCGGCCAATCTCGTGGCTCGAGAAGGCGCTGTTGCCACAGGGCCCAGTCGCCCGAGGAGGAGGCCAGCGCAGACCCTGGAGAAAGCAACAGGAAGCAACACATACGAAACCCTGGGCTAAATCTTCGGTCCAGGACCCGGGTCCGCGCACTTTGCGCCACACCCGCCAGGAAGCTCCCTCGCCCCCGCCCTCTGCCCCCCTCCCGCTGATCCGCCGCGAATTATGGAGTGAGTGCAGGTACCCAGTTCTGGAGTGCCAAGGGTTCTCCGGAACGGACCCCGGGGAACCCGAAACCCGGCATGGCCCTCCACCTCGGTGCACCCAATCTGATCCCGCAGCATTCCCTGCCTATAGTCTGAGAGAGGGAAGAGGGGGAGGGTAGACAGAAAGTTAAAGACATCCCTTCCCCCACCCCAGCTAAGGTTTGGAACCGCACACCCGCAAGCCGGAGCAACCCCGACGCGCGCCCCGCACTCCTGCCTGGCGACCCGGCTGGGCTACGGGATCTATTACGCTCCGCGGAGAGGAAATCCCGTCCTTCCACTCGCTTCCTGGAAGAGTTGCTGCTTATGCAAAGGAAGGGAGGAGGGTAGTGTCCGGATGCCAGCAGAAGCAGCCGGCAACCCCGAGCAGGACCTCCAGGATGAAGCCATAGCAAACGGCCCCCGGCATCTCCTAGAGGTCCTGGGGCCCAGCCTAGGGGTCCCCGGCAATGAACTTCCCCGCCCACCTTCCGGAGGCGGAGCCCGGCCCGCGCAGCCCCGATGGAGAAGTTTCCTGCCGCTCCTAGGGGGCGCCATGAGCCGCGGCTAGCGCCCTTTCCTTCCTCCCAGCGAAGAAAGATTTCCCCAGAGCGGCGGCACTAAAGGGGCGCAAGGTCCTTTTCTTAACCAAAACCTCGCTCCGTAGCACTCGCGCTTCCCTTCTCCTCGGAAACTCCATGCTGGAGCTTGAGGACATACAAGCTCCTAACCAAGCCTTCGGACGCTCGCAACACGCGGGAACTTTCTTCCTAGATCCCGCCAAGTTAGGGGTGGGAGGAAGCGCACCGGTCGAGTTTGACCTGCTTGCGCTGTCTCCCTCGATTATGAAATTGAAAGACTAAGCGTGATTTCCTCTGCAACGCTGTCTCCATTTCTTGTCCTGACAGGGGGTTGGTCTCAACTGACATAGTTACAGATGTGGCCTTAATCCCAGCCCCGCTCCCAAGCAGAGGAGAAGAGTGAGAAAGAGGGAAAAGCAGAGGTCTGATCTCTCCCTTCAGATATTCATCTCTCTAGCCAACAGTTTTCTTCTCCCCACACCTCCCCACCACGCGAAAAATTAGTCTCATTTGTACAGAAGCTTCTCCTGGGTACAGGGTCCGGGAGCGTGCAAAGGGTCGCCGGAGCTGAGAGCTAAGGCTGAACCTAGATTTTTCATGAGACTGTGGCAAAATGAAAGAAGAACCAGGGACGGAGGGTGGATACGTGCCATACCGGGCGACTGGATCTGGCCTTAGAGGAGAGAAGCTTATTTAACCCGGAGATTTGCTTCTCAACTGTGGCCCGGCCCCACACCACCGCCACCCCACCCAACAGGTTTGCAAACCACATTTCAAGCCCGAGGGACTCAAGCCCGGAAAGGTCATCTCGGGAGCTTGGACCTGCAAAGCCCAGTGTGTCTGGGAAAGGGGGTCTAAAGTCTTGTTAGACTAGAACGACGCCACTGGGTCACAAACCTGACTCGCTCACGCGCAAGGCGAGGGCCGGCGGCGGTCTGCACGCGTGTGGACTTCGTGCACAGTCGGTCTGCGGTGCCTTCCACCCGCCAGCACGGGGCTGTTCTCTTAATGAATTACTAATGAGTTAAAATTGGGCAGCAGGTTTAATTAAAGCGTAGAGGCAATGTGTTTACCACATTGTAATTGAACTCATTAGGGCTATGGCTTTTTGTTTTTTAAGCAGCCGCCTTCCTTCTCTGCGTCGAATAATCTATGGGAAGCGTTTATTAGAGAAGGAGGGAGCAGAGCAGAAACAGTCCATCAATTCTTTCAATGAAAAAGACAGGACGAGGATGGGGAGGGGGATGCAACGCCTCCATTCCGCCGATGTCTTGGTGGAGCCAAGGCTAAACCGAGGCTTCCTAAGAAGTTTCAAGGGTAGGATGACCCAGTGAGGGTTGCCGGCACTTGGAAAGTTGCCAAGGAAGGAGCTAGGCCGGAGCCTAAAAGGCAAACTTTGTAATACCACACAGGTCTACCGAACTCAGTCTTCATCCCCTTCTGGAACGCTGGGCTCCAACTGGAACCCCTGGCCCGCGCTCTCCCGGACACCCAGTCTGACACTTCGTTATGAGATGGATTCGACTAACTTTATTTATTTATTTATTTATTTATTTATTTATTTATTTATTTATTTTAAAAGAGCCTATGTTCAGCCCTAAAGCTTTCCTTCCTGGGGATGCTGAGAAGGGCTCAGTCTTCTGCAGCCAATCTTCCCAGCTCCCCTCCTGGAGATGCACAATAGGTTCTCATCTCACCTCAGGTGGTCGTTCCCCAGGAGAGTATGGAAAGGGTGCCCCCTCCTAGTGGACTGCCGGTGGGCGGCACAGGAGAAGCGCACCTGCGCGTCCTGGGACAATCCTTATCGTAGGCAGTTCAAGCTGCCGGCCGGGGCTGCGCGCCCCCAGGGTGGATTGCTCCCTCCTGCCCCTGGCCTTACTCCAATTACTAGGCCTTCAGCCCTCGCCTCATTTATGTCCTCCTTCGACCACTGGGCATGGAGGGGTGAAGGGTGGGGTGATGGGGCTGGGGCTGACGCTGCGGTCCTCGCCCTGCCCTTCCCTGCCTGACCAACAGGCGGCGTCAGAGACCCAGGTCTGAGGTGGGGAGCGAGGGGGTGCGGATCTGAGCAAGCTAAGCCGAGAAGGAGGGCGCGAGGAAACCGACCCTCACCCTAAACTTACAAACTTGCCCAGGAGGAGAGTAGGAAGAGCTGAGCGGCTGCAGGAACCGCCGAGAAGGGGAGGACTGGGACAGGACAGGGTCGCGGCGAAGGACCGGATCGCGAGCAGGAACGCAGAGGACCGCGGGCGGCGGGAGGCGGCGGCTGATCCGCGCGGGGGAGGCGGCAGGCGCCGCGGGAGGCAGAGCGCCTAGGAGCCGCGGAGCGTGAGGCAGGAGGGAGGACCGCGAGCAGGGGGCCGGAGACCGCGCGGGCGGCGCGGACAGGTAAGTGGCTTCGTCCTCCGCCCTCGGCCTCCCTTCCTTTGGAGAATACGGGGACCAAGGGGACTCCAGGAATTTCTAGCCCCCAGCACAGCCCTGCAGCTGACCTCAACCTCCTCTGTCCCCTCCACTTCAAACGCACACCCATTCCCAAGTCCCCATTCCTCACCATTTGTAAATTTTGTCGGTCTCCTATCCTGTCCATCCCCCACCCCATCCCACCTATCTCCGCCTGACCCGGGAGGTTGAGGTAAATTGTCTCTAATTTGTTGCTAAAAGATTAATTGCAGAAGGTGGGTCGATTTGATTAAGGCAATTAATCTTTGGTTACAGCGTTCTGGTGTCACTTGTGGGCGGGGGGGGGGAATCTGAAGAGAGCTAGGGAGAGAAGGCAAACGAGACTTTTTGGAGACGCTGTGGAAAGCGGCTCCCTCGCCTAGGACAGCATCCAGATCTTTGCCCCTGAACCCCCGCAGCCCGCAGCCCCCGAGCTCACGCCGGCGGTTTCAGCACTGCCAAGCTCGGACAGCGACTCCCGCGGGTGAGCCTAGTAACTTCCCGGTCCCGGGAGGTGAAGGAATGTAGGCAGCCTCAGGAGCTGACCGGGACGAGGGGTGCACCCCTAGCTCCCGTCTCCGGCCCAACCACTGGGCTTCCCTTTCCCCACTGCTTGAAAACAGGATCCGGCCAAGTAGACTCCCTGAAGACCCCAATTCTCAAACCGCCATGGGGTGGGAAAGAGAGAAACCCCCCAAACGTCTCCTAGAAAAGTTCCCAACGCTGGAGTTTTCTCTTTTCATGAATAATTAACGCTGCTCATAAATAACTGATGGAGGCAGTGGAGAAGGGAAGAGGGAGGAGGCGAGCGAAAGCCAGAGCGGCCAAAGAGAGATCGAAGAGTTTGTTAAAGGACCATTAAGGACGGCTTGCTGGGAACGGCATTCCTCCTAGATCACGCAGAGCGGTTCCACCCTGGCGAGGGGTAAAAGCAGAGAGGGGAGGCGCCCAAGAGAGCGAAGATTGTGCTGACCAAGCCCGGGGCACCCTTTCTAGACCCAGTCTTGTACTCTCACCATCCTCTCACACCAACCCAGGGCTCTTCCCAGAGCCACCTGGGACCTTCGGTCATCACCTATCCCCATGTCTACGCCCAAAGTGCAGAAGTTCTAGGCCAGATAATAGAGGCCCAGGGCTGAATTTGGATTTTGAGCTCTGACCGTGCTGCTTAAGACTGTGGCAAGACTTGCCCAGTTCCAATTAATTTGCATGCACCTCCCCAAAGCTCTCCTCACCCCATCGCAGACCATACCATTTCATTCTTTTCACACTGGCCCAAAGTCTTGAGACTTCAGTTTCCAGCGTGTTCATTCCCACCTGCTCACATCAGAACCCTCAAGAACACAGTCTTTACAGTGCTCCCCCCAAAACTGCTTCGCCCTCTCCCACTGCCCTTCCACCATCTCCAATTCCGGACTTCGTCTAAAGGTCTGGAGCATCCTGAACTCACATCTTGTATCCATCCCAGCTCTGCACTGGGACTCGTGAGCAGGGATCTCAGAACTTGGAAGAAAGTCCAAGAAGAAACCCTTGCTCCTAGGCTGCAGGCCTACGCCAGGGCCTTTTGGCTCCTCTAGGAAACACTGGCCTCTCACCAAATAGACAGCCTCAGATGGCCAGTACATGTTTTTAGAGTGAAACTCCTGAGAGTCCCTTGGCCAAGCAGCCAACGCAGTCCTTCACAGGGGCTCATGGAGGCTATCCCACAGCAAAGCCATGTCTTTTCCTAGTGCAACCGGGCATAGAGCAGTATCTTCCCAGGGCATCGGCCCAGGGAAGAAGATACTGTAGACTGCACCAACCACCACTAGCTGTGAGATGAGGTTCTGACTTAGGAGGTAGGAAGGAGCCTCTTTCTGAGCTTGATCATTGGTCAACAGCATCCACCACATACACTTCCAAAATGACCATCTCCTGACCTCTGGGTATACCAAAGGTCAGACTAACTTCTGATATTTCTGGGCTAGCAGCTGAGAGTAGCTTCCAAAGAGAAAAATTTGTGGCCAACCCTCATAGAATCTACGCTTAGAATATTTGTAATGAGAATTTTCTCTTCTCTTTA